GTGTGTGTGTGTGTGTGTGTGTGTGTGTGTGTGTGTTTTCACACAATGCAGTTTGTTTGTATCTTCTTAAATCACTCATTCAGACTGAATCAAAGAATGAAACATTCATTGTCTGCTTTCAGCTTTTGAACACTCCTTATTAAATTCTGACTGGGCCAATCAAATTGTATTGCTACTGCAGCCACCTCTGTGTGACATGCATGCAGGATTAGTTGTTTTACATTTGTGTGTGTTTATGCGTAGCAAGTGGGATTTAATAATGGGTATTCATTAAAACACAAATTCATTGTTGGCTAYGCACAGCAATTCTAATTTAAAAATGGGTAATCATTAATCTTCTTTAATATTTATTTATTTTATTTTTTTACATCGGAATATTATTTTTTTTGTAGGTGGTAGTTGTAGGTCTTGCAACACAATGGATATATAAAAAAATACTTACAATTAGATTTACCAGATTTTTCTTGGGTTCAGCTATCCCCTCTGCTCTGTAGCCATGTCACAGCAGACTGCGTCCATGCACAGTCGAACAACAGCATCAGAAACTGTTGAACAGCATAGCTGGTATTGATCTAGCAGAAATGGATGAGGTTGTTTACATAAATGCTAATTAGCTTAATAGCTGCTCAAATTTACCATCTATCCCAGTGGAAGACTTACTCGGTTTATAGTCTGTTAAATAAAACAAAGGAATAAAGTAGGTGCATTTTTTATTTTGTTGGCTACAACATCCAACTATATATATACAGTATATATACTGTATATTTAGGTACACCGTATATAATTAGGTGTACCTAATAAAGTGGCCGGTGAGTGTTATGTGTGTGTCACTTTAGCTATCAGTAGTGTTCAGCACTTTGGATAGCTCTAAGAATCTCTTCAGCGCAAAAACACATCATTCAGCACCATGGACAGCTCCGGTTACTAAACTTCACTGCTTTTCAAAGGGCCTCAGTCCAGGTAGCATATCTGCACTTCCTGTTTTCTACTTTGTGTTTCCAAGAGTTTTTAGCTTTATTAATTATAMTTTTAAAGGGTTAAAACCTTTATCAAGGGTAGATAAGAAGATACTGCAGATAAGAAGTTACTGGGCTAGAAAAAGTTTGTCAGAAGTCATGTACATGGACTGTACTTATATAGTGGAGATATACTGTAGTGTAGTTTTGAATGCAGAGCCTTTGTGTGTTGTGAGTCTTTGTGTTGCCCCCTCATCAATCATCATTGCACAGCTTGATCCCTGATATGTTTTCTTGACAATAGTCTTTCTCATTCTTTTTTATATATTTTTAAATTATTTTTTTATTTTATTTTTTGCATTCAAGAGCAGATTTACTTTTTTATTTCAACCTAATTATTTTCTCTGAAACTATAAACTTTTTCAATCCTACCAGATTGTTTACATGCACATATTTCAGCCAGACTAATGCAGAGAAAATCATGTCATTCAAGCTTCTCATAGTTTTTTTTTTATAGATTATATTGAGTACATACCCACCTTTTTCAGAAATGCATATCAGTATATGTGATATGCATATCAATTTATTTCAAACAAATGCAAATGGTGGATGGTGTTTTTTTGTAAATTGGTATATAAATAAACTAAATAGAACTAAAGTAGTCCACTTCATTGTCTTATGTTTTTGAGATAAATAGTGTGTTCACAATTGCAAACATGAAAAGGTGACCTCAGAAAGTGGCCTCATACAATCTGCTGTTAATGATGCTACACTCAGCAAGACCTCTTTTGGTGTCACACTCCCTCCTGCTGTTTACACATGCATACATAGCTTAAATAGAAAGTCTCTTGTTTGAMGTGGGTATGGAAACAGAAAGTCTGATGGATAAATTAATAATTGTTGAAATCACAGAGAGAGTGAATTTGGTGTGTATTATTTATGTAGTTTGTAACAACAGGGTGAACTATGCCATCCATCTATTAACTCACTTCTTTCTTTCGGGGTCACGGGGGTCACTGGTGCCCATATCCAGTARTCACTGTATGAGGGGTGGGGTACTCCCTGGACAAGTCGCAAGTCCATCACAGGGATCACATCACAAGATAAGCTATTCATTCTTTTAGATTTATGTTCCATGCAGTCACTGGAAACATTGTGAGAAACAACAGTGGGAAGATCACCAGTCCATAACAGTGCCTCATGAAACAGACAACCATTCACACTCTCACCAACACCCAGTGACGATTTAGAGTTACCAATTAACCTCATTGTTTCGGTCTTGCAGAAGCACACCAGAGTACTCAGAGAAAACCCCACCGTCAGGGGAGAACAGGTCAGAGCCTCGACTTTCTCATTGTTTTGCAGCAACTCTTATTTATTACTGGTAAACATTTTAAAACAATGATAAAACAAAAAAATAACATTAATCATTTTAATCTGCACTGTTTTGATTGACAGATTTTTTTTAATTTGCACTTCTGTGATCAACAAAGGTCCAGTTTTGTTGGTTTTGTTTTAATTTGTATTTTGTGAATAATTTTATAGATGTTTAAAAAAGTTTCAAACAGCAATAAAGTTAGAAATCACTTCCATCCACACTCTCTGATGTTCTTTTTTAATTATTTTTTTTTACAGATGCAGGACAAAGATCCTGTTTTAATTTGAATATAAAATAACTTTTTAACACCTTTTTGAAGCCATTGAATATGATGTATTGTGCCTTAGATTTATTATTAACATTAATAACTTCAGCTCCAAAACGTGTCAGCTGTGTGTGTGTGTGTGTGTGTGTGTGTGTGTGTGTGTGTGTGTGTGTGTGTGTGTG